AAGTTCCTGCTTACTTAACATTCAAGTATCCATGCTTTAAGCTAAAACTAACTGAAGAATATGATAGGGAATTTAGCTGGTTTAGCAGACTGTACATGTTTCTACAAGATTTACCTAAGTACTTTATTTTCATAAAAATGTATTGCTAGTGTGTTTGGATTGTGGAGATAAGCTTCCAAGTTAGGACAAGTTCAAGAGATTTAACTTACTATACCATCTCAGGATGTATAGTGTATATGTGAAGCCACTCAAAAAATTATGCATTGTTAAGAGTTCTGCCAGTGTGTTACCTTCACTTACAAATATCTCCGAAACAATTAGCAATTTAGAATTGATCAGCTGTACATATGTTACATTATTGATGCAGCTTGTGTTTTGCTGTAGAAATAAAATACTAGGACTCCAATAAATGTAGCAGTTCCTGAGCTCTTCTGAAAGACAGGCCAGTCATCCACATGTCCAGTTTTGACTTTGGTCGTAAATTTAAACTCTTCTTTCCCCTCCCTCCACGCCTCAGTATTAAATACCTGTTTATGCTTTTCAGCTTTCCATCACCAATGTTTCTTGGAATTGGACAGGTATGTTTCACAAGTAAAGCATACTAAATGTACTCATTATTTGGTAAGTTAAACTAATGTTAGCATAGAGATACTACATTTTGGGGGCGGGAAATCTCTGTTATACTGCACTGCTCATCTTCTGGATTAGATACACTGTAAGGAAAAGGGATTTGTTTTAGTGAGATCAAGGAAGTTTCAGCTTGAGTCAAAAATCTTGCCTGGGAAGTGTCACGTAAAGGACTCGAAATGCCATTTTTTTCCACTTGTAGACTACAGTAATTAGAGATTTGGCCTTCAAAACTGTCAAGATTTGTTCCAGCAAATGCATCCTGTGAGGGTCCTTGAGCATTTGTGGATTATATGCAGAGATATTCCCCCTATTTGTATACAAACAGTGTATTTCCTCATAAATCTCTCCCACTTTCCCAGCAGTTTTCCAGTAGGACTACTACACAATTTTGGTTCTTTGTTGCCTTATGTGCATGTGGGCAATTTGCAGGACTGCAGCAGAAGTATGGTTTTTTGGGTTTTTTTTGCTGTTAGTAGGCGTCATAGTAAAACCAAAGTTCGTATGTTTATGTGTGTGTGGTCCATAGAGAAGACCATGTGACTCCACAAAGGGATGTCTGGGAAAGATGGAACCTTGAAGCAAGTGTTGTTTAGCCAAATACATTTAAAAGAGAGGATTTACTTTCTGCCAAGGTTACAAGCTAAGGGGTAGTGAGGAAGAAGTGAAAACAGGGGACTGCAAGGCTGACATCTCTGCTGTTTGGTGCCAAAGAGAGTAAAATATCTTGTAAAGTCCTTGCTGTGCAAGATGCAGAGAGAGAGTTTCACACATCCCGACTGCTCAAGGAACCACACATCATGTTTCAATGGAAGCCAAGGACTAGAAAATGTGGCAATAATTCATGTTAAGGACAATGATACGGCTTTGTTTCTTTGCAGAACCTAAGACTGAATGGCATTTCCATTTTTTGTTGACTGATTCTTCCAAGATTTCCTTGAACACTTCGTAAAGTACATATAATATGGTGTAATGCTTTAGTGAGCAGAACATGACTCCACCCCATCCTTTAGATAGTAAATTGTTGTATTTTTTATAAGGAAAATGCAAATATTTTTTTTTCCTCCCTGGGGCCATCGTTAACGACGTGTGATTGCTCAGATACTGTCCTTCATTCTGTCCGTATCTTTATTATTTCTTCCTCATGTTGTCAACAGATGGATCAATGCACAACCCCCATCTCACATTACCAAAAAAGCTGTAGGAGTGATTCCACAGACTAAGCAATGCTTTGAGTGAAATAGCATGATTATTCTGGGATTGTGTCCTGTTTTATTTTCTTGGCTCCTTCTCAGCGTGCATTGTTTCACACAGTGCCACTCATTTTCCTAAGCTAGTAAAGCATATGTCTATGTTGTACTTTTAAATAAATAGCTGGCAAAATTGATAAGAATAAAGTTATTCCAGTTTGTCAGTTGTATGCTGTCTTGTTCTTTGAAAGAAATTTGTAATACCTAGCATTTGTCAAATGCATATAAAGATTTTGTCTTTGAAGCCCTTCTTTTCATTCATACATTAAAATTTTGCTCTTACATGACCTTCTTGTTTTTTTCTTTTTGTTTAGATGGCAGCCACTATACTTATCTTGTATGTGTCAAAATTAAATAAGATTGTTCACTTCCCCGATTTTGACAAAAGCATACCTGTGAAGGTAAGGATTATGTAGGTCCTGATATTAATAAGAAAATGTTACCTCTTACAGTGGCAGTTTTTCTTATGCAGGCAAGATACAAAAGAAGAACGGAAAAAATTCTGCATTTGTGTGTCAAATGTGATTGTTTGTATATCTTTGTTTCATTTAATATTGTATTTGATTATTTTAATTTCACTGCAGTATTCTGGCCTTTTGTTTGCAGAAAAATCTGGTGCCATTTTGTTAGGCAGTACATGGGAAAGGGTGCATACAGCTGGACGAACTCCTTCATATTCCTGAAGTATTTTTCTGGTTGTGTACAGCTCCCTGCAGGATCGATGGGAGATTTAAGAGTGAATTTTGATCACAGCATGAAGGGAGAGAGGCTGCTTGGAAATTTGAATGCAACATGATAAAACAATAGCAAATCAGTATGTGATAGACCAAAAACCATGACAACAGTTGATTCCAAGTATAAGATTTATGTTCCATAGGAGGGGCTAAAATAATGCCCACTGAAAACACTCTAGGTAAGGGCTAGCTGTGTCATACAGACCTTGAATGTGTATGGTCTAAAGAAGCAGGACAGAGAAAATATGAGAAGGTCTTTTATTATCTCAAATTGGAAACTAGGATCTGAAATGACTACAGTAATGATCCTTACAGATTTTTGCATCCAAGTGCAATGTTGCTGGAGCTTTACTTTGATGCATAAGCCTATGTATTTATGTCTTGTTGCAGGGTATTGGTCAGTGTTTGCTGAGAGATGCAGAGAGAGTTAGCTCCCAGCTCTGTTGCAGGGGATATTGTAGCTTTTCAGGCCAGCATCTTCATTGCACAATCTTGTCTTACTATCACTATGAGGTTTACTCTGAACATCTCACAACCATTGGTGAATGCTGTTTATTCTTAATGCATGTTGAAATCATTGGCATTTCTGCATGTAAAAATGTTGTAGGAATATCTATAGCATCAATTATAAAATGGACAATCCTTATTTTTCCCAAAATATGAAAGGACAAGGTTTCCCAGTGGGTAGTTTTGAGTTCTGCGTATAATCAGCTTCTTGAGAGCTCAAGAAGTTTCTTCTCTCCACCTCCCCCAGTCCCTCGACTCTCCCTCTCTGCTGTTGCCTTCACTTTAACGTCATTACAAAGGCATTAAAAAATACAGCACCCATTTTCTTTGTGCTAATAGTATATATACTTTGGAAGATTTTCCTGGATATGCTGGGAGCTGTCAGCACTGCAGAATCCAGGACTTGGCATACTGCTTGTAGTGCTGGATTTGACTAGTCACAGTGGATTGCTGGATTGAGCTGGATTGCTCATTGTTGATTACTTTAAAAAGCAAAATCACCCTTTGACCAACTCTTTATCCTTTTGCAACTTCTGCTTTCATTGATACTAAGATTATCACTGCTTTCACTCCCAGACTGGTTTATGTCCTCAGTGATTTCAGCAAGAGTTTTAAAGTAGCAAAGTGCTTAGTTTAGTGACGAAGCTTTGGTGCTCTTGACCCTTTCTAAGTAAATGTTTCACTGGTCTCTGATGTTGTGCTGGATGTTGTAATTTTGTCTTTACAACAGACGAATTTCAGAGGAAAGAGAATGTAATGTCAGCTCTGTTTTCATCCTATGAATGAAATAAAACAAATTTTTCTAAATAAAAGTCTACAGAAGAGATAATGCATTACAAAATTTTTGCAAACTTATGTTAACAGGCTTAATATTTATTGTTACTTATGCTCCTGTTTACTTTATAGTCTGGTTTACTTTTACTGTACTTTCACTTAGAAGTTAACTTTCATTAACTGTAGTTAACTTTTACTGCACTTTCCTCCTCTTTCCTCTTTGCTGTGAAAAAATGCAGAATTTTCAACATAGATAAAATGCAGCCTACTCTTCTGTATGCTTTTCTAGCACACAATGCTTTGAAAGGGCATAGCCTCCAACACACGCAGTGTCTCCTGAAGCATGTATGGGCACAACAGCAGGAGCTATTACACACGTTAGGATAGAGGATCTGTTTTGTCTGACTGCCATTTCAGCTCCGCTTGACTGATAGTGAGTGGGACTACAGGTACATGCCACCTTTGTCCCCACTGATTACTTGGTTAGTTTTAATCTTCTGCAGCTTTTCTGTAGTGTGAGAATTAACAGCTTTGAGCTGCAGCCATATATTGTATAGGGATCCCTGACTTCTTGTACATTTTCTTAAGTCTCTGAAGTTCTGTTGTTGTTTCTCCATATTGTGTTAGGGCCCATATGTTTCTCTGTGTGTCAGTCTCATTATGCTAGAAGCTGGAAAAGATAAAGTTTAATTTACCCCTAAATAGTTAGCTTTCCTTTCTAGTGTCTCACATAGCATAATTTGTTGGGTAGATCTAAAATGGTGTATCTTCCAGGCATACTAATAAACGTGGAGTACCTGGAGAAGCACAGTGTACTTAGAGTTTATTTATTCTTTTATTCCACCTGTTCTTTTACTTATTTAGCTACTGTTACTAATATTACTTTTATACCTACAATTCAAATGTTAGAACGGGTATTAATCTGAGGATTATAGTAGTTAAAATAAAACTGATTAACATGTACTCTAAATGGAGTCTGAGTCTCATTAGAGGTAGATTGCGACTCTTCTGATGAAGTCAGCAAAGCTGTGGTCATGAATCGTCATGTGAACGAGAGCTGCAGATCAGTGTGCAGCATAGTTAGATTTTTTTTCTTTAAAAAAAACCCTCTTTCTTGTTAAAAGTACATCTGATATTATAGTTATCAAATTCTATCAAGTAAAGTTTCTCAACAGTGCTTCAAAACATGGTAATCTGAGTTGTGCTTTTAATTTTATCACAGTTGTTTCCTCTGCCTCTGATTTATGTTGGAAACCACATAAGTGGATTATCAAGTACCAGCAAACTCAGGTACAGTAAATGGAAGTTATAAGTAGACTGTTTGGATTTTACCCTTTTCTTTTGTGGGGGTAAATAATAAACACTAAAGAGCAGCATTGTGAAGTGACTTAAATGCATATGATGTCTGTCTGTCTAAACCCCTGAAATTATTACAAAATTATTACAAAATTCTTACCCAAACATTTGATCTGTTTACCAGTTGAATGCTTCTTTTAAGGGCGGGCTTAGCCAGGCCTGTACTGACAGAAAGTCACAATACTCTGTGAAAATGAAAGTGCTTTCACTTTCCCCTCACACGCAAGCACCCAGCTTTTCCTGGGTGTCCTAACCAGAGAGTTTGAAAGCTGTAAAAAAGACATTTTTGAAGGAGGAAGAATAAGGGAAAGATTTGTACCATGATGTTGGTGCAGGTTATTTAGGAGTCACAAAGAGATGGAAAAACTACTGTGTAGCGGGGTGGTGGTGGCAGTCTGTCCCTGCTGAGCAGCAAAAGCGGATTGCGGGGAGATTGCTGAAGGCCTTGGTGGCTCCAGTATGCCCATAAGCATAGATCCATGAGAGTTGCTTCCTTGCTAGGGCTAAAAAAGTGTAAGTTATGTAGAGGACCTGCTGTAATAGATTGAATAACCAAATTTTCTGTGGAAGAGGAGTGCAGAAACATCACAGCTGCACCAGTATTGGAGGATATAGTACGACCGTTGCGGTGGTCTCTTTTATGTTAGTACAGGCTCCTGGGGATTTGGTAGTGAGCTAAACCAAAACAGAGAATTTTGCAGGTTTTGCATTTCATAACTTTGAGACACATGCTGAGAGAGAAAATTATTACTTTTAACTTGTTTACCTTTTTATTTATAGAATTAATTTTCTCTGACTAGCAGCATTAGACGCCTTGATTCTGCAACTCTTTGTTGTACACATTCAGAAGTTGTTCCACTGAAGTGACTGTTCAGGCAGACATAAGGACTTTGGCTGTACTGGCCCTAGTAGCTCTTCAGCCATTACATACAGGGAAGTAGTTTCAATCCTATAAGAGCTTGATTCATGGGTTCTTCTTTCCCATTTCCCTATCTGTAATTTTTTAAAAAAAGAAGTTTAGTAGGTTATTTTAAACATAAGTGCACCATCTCTTCCCCCTATGGCTGACATACCTCTTTCAGATTTACTATTCGTAACTAATTTTTATAACAGAAAAGTAAAAATGGCTGCAGTGTTGCTGCAGTGTTTCATTAACATTTTGTTAATATTACGTGACATTTGTTTACATTATGGATTTTTCCACCTTGTCTGGATTGTCTGTAAGGTGTAGATGATCTTATGCATAACTTCAAAATCTCTGTTGTAAAGTGATTAAACTCTGGGTTAGGATTTGTATCAATTATAAATGCAGTTGCTAATAGTTTTCTTAAATAGAAGATTAACTGATCCATATGGCCATGCTGTCAGATTTCCAAAGTGTCAGATGCAAGTGTTTTCTCAAATTAATCAAAAAGGTTTCCATCTGCATTACTTCATGTAGACCAACAATATGTTGTTCAAAAGTAGCTGGTAGTTGCAGCTGGTCCCACTTTTCATGCTTCTTGTACTGTCTCTGATTTTTTCTTGTGGATTTATTTTATTTTTTTGAAAGTACAGCTTGTTTACTAAGCATGTTTGCTTTGTTATATGTATTCAGAGACAGGTTTATTGCGTGTCCTCTAAGTTTACAGTAGAACTCATTTTTACTTACCCCACCCATGAATTCTACAGAAGTAATAGGGGGCTGTGCTAGGTAGAAAACAGCTTTTATACTCCATTTCACTGATGCAGAGGGATCTCTTAGAAGGTAGTCAGCTGCATTGTTTTACAAACTGGCAAGTCTTGTTATTTTTCAGTGATTTGGTTATCTAATCTGCCTCTAGTGTCAGAGTTTACAATTTTTTGTATATGCTAAGTGACTGGGAATTTGTTTTGGTTGCTTGTTGCTGGACTAGTGGTTTCATCCTCTGTTTAGTAAAATTAGATAAGAATTAGACCATAAAAATGCTGTTAATCTGACAGTATGCTTGGATTTTTTTTTTTTTTTTTTTGACAGTTTGCCGATGTTTACAGTGCTCAGGAAGTTTACCATTCCACTTACTTTACTGCTGGAAATCATCATACTTGGGTGATCCTTTTTGTTGTTTCATTTAAGATACCTTTATTTTAGATCATATCCTATAGATTACTTATGGCATCTCATCAGAATATTGAATGAGTGCTTTTTACTGCAGCTTTTTTTAAAGACAGATATACGGGAACAAAAAAAATCAGCTTGCTCTCATACACAGCTTATTCTTTTGACTGTTGCACAGGAATCAGGTAAGCAGAGCACAACCCAGACACTTTAATGGTTATGATTTGTGTCTCATCTGGAGGCCCCTAAGCTGCAAACTGCTTCAAACAGACGGATCCTTATGTCTTACAACAGTGATGATAGTGTAGCAGTCTGCTTATGTACAGTAACTTTCTGGGTCAAGTCTAAAAACACCAGTTTAATGAAGCAAAATGGTATCTACCAGTGTGCTGTTAGATCAAGAAGCTCCTTAATTATAGATACCTCCATTATTTTTAATGAGAAATTAAGAAGTGTATGCTACTGCAGCTTGGGATCAGTAGTTTCAGTTGTACTGACTTGGAAGAACAGGAATATAAATACATGGTACTTTTTCACCACCATAGTTCTATCCACATGGCTTGTGCTCAGTTAAGGTGAGGTCACAAGGGGAAAAGCAGCTTATGGAAGTTGCACCCAGGCAACATGAGAGTGGTGGTCAGGGGAGAAGCTTTTCAAAAAGCCCCCAAGTAGATCATCATCTCCTTTTGGCTGAAGCAGCAGTTGATCAATGTGATTAATATTTCAGGATGCTCTGGTATTCTTTTCTAGTTGTAAGTTCTCATAGGGAAAGCAGAACTTGCAGTATTCTGTTAGCCTGAGGACTCCTGCAAGCAAGGAAGATGTGAGTCAGTGAGGTTGTCATCGGTTCTCAGCTGGATTACAGCAATTTAGTGCAAGCGACAGCCTAGCCTAAGGGGAGCTTAAGAACAGAATGCTGTATTCATACAGACTGCCACAGTGTATTTCCTCAAGGCTGAAAACAAAAGGACTCATGAAAGTCTGTACTGGCTTACTTTAGGATTTCAACAGCAGTCAAGGTTTGGGTTGGTACTGTGGAGAGTCATTGTGATCAAAAGCTAATATATCTAGATACTGCATACAGCTTTGTTGTTGGGATAGTGGTCCACAGCTGTGCTCCTTTGACATTCAGGATTTCTCCAAGAGCTTTGTACATTTTCTTTTGATGGATTTTTTCTCACAGGCCAGCTCAGAGCTGGGGACTAGCATGAGAGAGTGACTAGGGGAATGTCTGCAAGGCACATTGCAGTATGGTGCAAAAATAAGTACTTAAGGCATTTCTAAATAAAGTAGTACAGGTAGAAGAAGCAAAATAGTTTTATGGTCTACTTTTCCCTACTCTGTGGCAGTGGTGATGTAGACATAGTTAAAAATATCATAAGCTTCCATGCTTTCCCCTTCAAGTACAAGGTTTCAGTTTGACTTCAAAATATGTCTCTATTTGAAAAATAGCCCAGATAGTGTGCTGTACAGCATCTCCCCAAGAAAGGTGAGATGAAAAATTACATGAGATGTGTAGTAATTTTCCTTTATTGGATTACTGGAAGACACCAAAATATGTCCACTATGAATACCAATGCACGGTAAATTACAGTTTGTTCCAGCGCTGTTACTTTTAAATCTTTAATCTTTACTTTAAAAATTATCTAGTAGCAGAATGCTTTCAATGCTTTTTCAATCCCTCTTCTTAGGGCCCAGGTCTGACAGCATGGCACATGGTGAATCACGTTGTTTCTGTAAGGTTATCAAGACTGTGCCCACCTGTTAAATGTTTTGTAATTACTAATTGCTTTGAAACTTTTCAGGCAGACAGCTGTTTAATCTCGTCTTTAAATAATGAGAATATGAACTGTCTAATCTTTGTCCACAGGAAACGATACCCACTGAGTATTATAGTCAGCGTATTTGCCATCATTCTTGGGGCTTTCATAGCAGCTGGGTAAGGTTTTCATTTGCTACATGAAGTCATGTTATTAGAGGAAGGACGACAAGAGGATTTTTCCCTTGTTACGTGCCAAGTAGACAAACCTAAGTTGAGATCAGTGACTGTGGATTAAGTTGATTTGGAAAATCTATTTACTGACATCATTGGGAGGTGCAGGATACAAAGGGAAGAATTTAACTCCAGCTGGAAATATTTGGGTGCTTCTTTCTCTGCCCCCACCAGGTTTTCTGTGTTTGCAGGACTGTAAATGAAACAAGGTAAAACTGCATGAGGGATGTTGCTTTTATTTCATAGTATCAGTGTATTTTAATAATCTTAGAAAAATATATTCCTCGTTTGGATAGAAAGGCTGATTCTTTTGCTTGTCAAATACTGTTTTTAAGTTAGGCCATGTCTATTTTTTTAATCACATAGAGCAAGTTCAAGTGTGAGATTAAGTTCAAAAAGCACTCATATACTAGTTTCCTCTGTTTACTTTCTGTTCGAATATTCCTTTACTTAACTGGAAATGTAATGCTATTTTTTGTTTCTTGGCTTTGCTATGTACAAAGGTAAATAATTTCTGTGTGATGTGACTCAGAGCCATGTCCTATTAAATGGATTACCGTATATCTGTGAGGTAACTAGTCAAAACAGAAAGGATGACAATATGTCTGGTCTGACTGTAAAAAACAAGTAGTCAGACGCTATTCACTAGCTACTTTGTGTCTTAAAAGAAATAACTAAGTATACTCAGTAATAATTGGACAAATTGTCAAGATTGAGACAGGTGGAATTTTTCACAGAATGAAAACTGAACATTTCCTGCCACTTCCGCACTGAGTCCCGGGAACTCTGTGATGACTCATTTGTGATGGTCCCGTGAGTGGACTTATAAAGAAGACTTAAAGTAAAACCTGTGACTTGCTGGAGTTCTCAGGATTTGCATTTCTTATTTATGATATTTCTGTAGGTAAACAAGGTGATGCAATGCATTGCACACTGTTTGCTTATTTACGCTATAATATTTCTTGTCCAGGTCTGATCTGTCTTTTAATCTGGAGGGCTACACCTTTGTATTGCTAAATGATATCTTCACAGCGGCAAATGGAGTTTACACGAAGCAGAAAATTGATCCAAAGGTATCTGTGGGGTAATTACATTGACTTTAAGATTTTGACAATGTGGTAACAGTGGGTTACTTGTTATATGACTTATGAACATACAGTTAAGAAGTAATAAATAATTTCATTTGCTTTCATATTTGAGTTGATACATGCATCCTTAATACAGAGCAGCCTGAGAAAAACTTGTTATTAGTATCTCAGGCAAGGCTGAGATAAACAGTGTATTTTATTTTCTTCCAAGTCTTTTAGGCAGAGTTTGTAGTGGCTTTAAAACATTGCTTTTGGCAAAAAAAAAAAAAAATTAAAATAAATCCAAACCAAAAGCAAATTGTTTACCTGTAAACACGAGATATGTATTTATCTAAGGAAGATGACTTTTTGACTTGAAACACACTTTAAGTGAGGTTTATGTAAAATAAACTTGTGGGTAGGTAACAGAGACCTGTCCGGTTCGTGTCAAGAACCGCAACAACGTATATCTACAAACCCAGGTATGCCAAAGTATTAGGTGATACCTTGATACACTACATTTTATGTAAACATCGAGCAGGCTGCTTTTCAAATACAGTACCATGAAAACATAACAAGCCATAGCAAAGAGCAGTCTTGGAGATGCTGGATAGAGCTTTTATCACAGACTTTTGTGGTTCAGTCTGTACAGTGGAAATATGTATCTTTTCATAATCTCAGGAGTCACATCAAATCCAGACTCTGTATTATGAGCAGCACTTAATAGCATCACTGTTTTCTGCAAAATAATGGGATTTCATGTTAAAGTAAGAGATAAGATGGAGAGATTTGATAAGTAGCATGGCTGAATCTGGAGGAAGGGAAGGCTGCTTTTTCATACCCCTAATCTTCTGCCCTTGTGTCAAGCAAGTTAACCAAGAGAATGTAAGGCATCCCCTCAAGTTGCTTGAAGTTACATCACTTACCAGTGATTACAGATGCACCATAGGAGTCAGACTTCATTGATTTTCCCACTATGCTGGCCCCAGGGAGCTACCCTGCCCTGTGCTTTGCACTAGATGGAATGGGTAATCCTTTGATCAGGCAGAGACTTAGGTGGAATCTTAACACAAAGCAGTTCTGGACCAGTGCCTTGGGAACTTTCTGACTAGCTGGTGTTGTGTAGAAACTGTTCAAGGTATAGCAGAGCAGTGATACTCTGCTGACTATGCAGACAAAGTGACTGCAGTGGAAACTCAGCTCAGTACTAAACACTGAATCCAACAACTGCAAGCTTGTATTTTAAATTGAAATGTATTATGTTTTGTCTATTCATTGACAATAACATCAGAAGGATTGCCAGAGTAATATTTAGTATTTTGCTCCCAAATGGCTTGTAATTCCAAACACCATGTTTTATTTTTCACAGGAGTTGGGAAAATACGGTGTCCTTTTCTATAATGCTTGTTTCATGGTGGTTCCAACAGTTATTATTAGCTTTTCTACTGGAGACTTTCAGCAGGTAAGGAACAATATTGTGTGTCTCAGACTGATAGTGGTATTTTGTTCATTTTTTCAGTTGGGGGGTGGCTGGGTGTTTGTGTTTGTTTTTGAAGAGGTAATCCTACCTCTATGTTATCGACTAGTATTTGAAATATGTTTCTTGGACTTGCCCTTCACAAGTACAAACTTGTAATTATTCACTTTAAGGAAAAGCTGAATTTGTGTGATAGCCTTTATATAAATCTTTGTTTAAGAACTAAGGTATGACTGGGAACTCTTAGCTAGAGCAATTGGTTGGGAATCCAACTCCATTGTGTGATTTGCCAGATGCTCTAAAATGAGATTGCAAATACCAAAACCAGACAATTTCCAGTCCTTCTCTCATTCTGATGCACAGAACAGATTCCTGTTTAGTCGCAGTCTAGTTTAGTAACATACATTTTATATTCTCATAGAATGGCAACATGATTCTCCATAGCTAATCATAATGGAGTATAATACTGTAGGCAGTATGTCCTGGCATGTAAAGTATCAGACCAGGTTTGTGTTTTTCTGGCTCCCTCACAGACTTGCTGAGTTGCCTTTTTCTTACCGGTCAAATAAGTGTAGACACTTGTATTCCTTTTTTTGCAAATGTTTGAGATTTGCCACTAAAAATTGTTGCAGAGCTTGGGGGGGGTGTCATAAATCATTCCAGTGTCCTTTGTTGTATGTTGTTGTGCCCTGGACTCACATGGTTTTGTCATTGTGTTCTTAGTAGTCTGCTTTAAGTGGAAAAATTGTCATTCCCTGAAAATGATGGATTTAGATCTGCTCTGGGTATGAAATCTCTCCTTGTGACTTCAGTCCAGCATGACTTTGTGCCAGTTCAGGAAAATGCAGCTGATGCCCTTCTTGGCAGGCATAGTGGGAGCCAAATTTGTATGGCTGTAAGGTTTCAAATGCTTTCCTAGCAGACAGGGCTGGAGGCATTGTGGGAGAACTGGACAGGGAAGTTTATCTTGTTTCTAGGTTTATTCCATGGGAAAAATAAAAGAGTGTGTTGTGCCCACATGTTGATTTGCCACAAACAATTTAATGCTCAATTACCTGAAAAAAATAAATATCAGAGAAATGCATGGTGCCTATTCTGCATATGCATTGGCTTGGTCTCTTACAGTCCCATTAAATGATGTGGGTAACTAGTGTCAATGTGATGCACAGCGATTAAATCACAGAAAAAAGAGAGAAAATGGAAAAATACTGGTGAAAAGTCAACAAATCATTGTAGATAACACCTGCATTTAGCAGATTTTCAGGACATAGAAGCTGGCTTGCTTATACCCTAGCAGAGCTTTTTGCCTTGATCCATCACAGACAATGCACAGCATGTATCTTTTGCCAGTCAAAATGTCTATGTGATAGGGAGATTGTTTCTACTTCTCTAGCTAGTTCTGGAACGGTAGATGCCACATCTTGTAGAGGCTACAGTGTGTGAGTGTCCCAGTTATTCACTTCTCCTCTACTAGCTGGCTGACTAGGAGGAGAGGAAAGCATGATGCAGTGGAAGACAAAGGAAGCCCCAGAATGCCTCTCTAATACTTTGCAGTTTGTTGTTGCACACCAGCACAATTCTAGCAGGGCAGAGCTGCCTGATATCCGTCTAATCTACTGCCTCATGTGGGGGAGGCTCAGCTAGCCACAGCTCAGCATGGACTAACAGCCTTTATCCTGTTTCATGGGGATGTGTTCAGCCTTTGCTGACTTTTCACAGAATCACAGAATCACTAAGGT